CAAGATACCACGTGAGTGCTAGTGCAATACTTAGATCTTTTGATGCCTATGAAAGCGAATGTGATTCAGTTTCCTTGTTCGTGTCTCCTACTTGGAAATATACAATGAGGAGTTACGCGATTTGCTTGCCAAAGATGGTCACACGTCAAATTTGGAAATCAAGGTACATAATTCTGTTTTGAGGTACTAATTCGAGCTGTTTGCGGTAGTGGGTGATGGGGAGTACCGAGTGACTGGGGCTGAAAACTCAGTGAGGTTCACTAAGGTTTACATTTGTTGTCAGCAAGCACTTTGGCGTTTTCTGCGAGGCTGTGCGGTGGTTCGTAGCTATGCGCTGTTAATTACTGGCTTTTGTCCTCTTGAAGGAGCTCAAGGGAGATTCTTTCATGCGTACGTGTACGCATTTTGACCGCGCTTGGCCCAAGAAAGCGACGGTTAGCTGCGCGGAAGCTTATGATACTTGGAAAAGTTTCAGAGGCCTATTTTGCAGGAGTTCTTCTTACTTAGTAATGTTCTTTCTGCACTCGCTCAAAAGTAGTATTGATTCAAAGAGCTGGCCATTCAATATGCTCATTTTATGCCTTCAAAGCCCTTAACGACTTTGACAATTTTTTTAAAATGTGTCTATGCAGGAGAAAGCTGATATCGGAGTGTACGTGAAAAACTTGATTTCAATTATTGTTGGAAGCGCAAGTCAGATGCAAAAACTCATGGAATTTGGAAACAAGAACAGTAAGTTTGGTTCATCATCATCTCCAAATGTTTGATTTTTCACATGTGCTTTTATCGATCAAGTACTCTGGATGAAAGGTAAAGTGAAAACCCATCAAGATGCGTAGTACTCACTTACTCAAATCAGAAAGAAATGAAATGAGAAAATACTTAGAAATTGCAATTATCAGAAAGAACATTGTAGGGAAGGTTGGAGCGACGCAAATGAACGAGGAGAGCAGTCGTTCGCATGCCATGTTCTCGGTAACGGTCGAGTCAAGTGAAAGAGGAATGGTCACTCAGGGAAAGTTACATCTTGTCGACCTTGCTGGTAGTGAGCGCCAGAGTAAAACCGGAGCCGCTGGTGAGCGGCTGAAGGTAGGCTGACTACTCGTTACTCGTAATCTGTGAATAGCACATTTTGTCGCCAATTCTAGAGAAAGTAGAGATAGTTTTCGTGAACTGACGATGCTCACGCTTGCTCACAATCTAATTTTTTGGCAGCGGTTTGAGCTTGAAGTGTGCGACCGTCTGCGGGCGACAATTTATCATGGGAAAATTGAGTGGACACTCGAGGACCAGACACCTTAATAGACAGGGAAAAAAATATAATAGATAGTATCGATTCTAAAGTAGTGCCATACCTGCACAATGTAAATGCTTTTGTCGTTTTTTGTTGCAACTTTATGTTTTTGCTGTAGTTTATTCACATGTTTAGTGTTAGGAAGCGCAAAAATCAACTCTCGCCTCATCAACTCTGGGGAACGTAATCAGGTTGTGGGTGGTGTGGAGGTAAAGTCAACAGGGCGGCAAATTACCATATGTGTGATGATTCAAAGCACATCCATACAGTGAGTGAAATAGTCTTCAACTTACCAGGTGATTCAACTTCCCCCCCCCGCCTCCCCCTCCCTCTTCCTTCGAATTACTCTTTGGCTGAGACGAAGACGGATGTAGCGCATTCTGCCACCGCATCTGCAAGCTGCGTGAATGGAGATTCCGCAGGCTTGGTCAAGCGTTCCTAATTATGCGCGGCGTCCATCAGCGGAAGAAATTTCAGAAAGCTTTTGAAATGGTCTCTGAAAACATCATTTTTTTTTTTTTTACAATCCCAATCCACAGAACCCATCGAAGCTGGCTGTGGTATGGTTGTTAGTAAAAATAATTTTCGGTGTTCGCTGTTAGACTCCTAATTGTTGTCCACATATGAGTCGTCGCCCCCAGGTTTGTCCATAGGAAAATCGTACTTCCTGATCTGCATGAGGTCTAACTTGCAAGGGGAGAAAAGGAAAGGGGGGTGTGGAAGGCGAAGACGATCATTCGAGTAACAAGGAGAAAAGCAACTGTGGACTTATTGGTTCATCATAAACCCAGTTACGAATAATCCTTTTCGTGAATTTTTGAATGAGTTAGCTTACTTGTGTGCTGTGTTTTGAAGTTTTTATGTTCAGAAATTCTAAATTGACGCGTCTGCTGCAGGACTCTCTCGGTGGTAATTCGAAGACCGTCATGGTGAGCTTTCCGATTTGAATGAACTGATTAGTCAGATCAATATTCGATGGAGTACTTTATCAATTCTTCCCAAGTCATTCAAAGGCGGAGCTTGCGTTGAGCGCTGTAACTCACTTGACTCATTTTTACGGACCGCTTTTCCTATTTTTGCGCCCAATTTTCTTTGAAGAACGTGAATTGTTCTAAATATTAACGAATGGAGAGTGGTAAAGGTATCAGCTCAACGCGATCCCTGCTGTTTTCCAATGGAAGCAATTGCATTTAGTGGTATTGATGTAGTGTCATTTGTCCTACAGATAGCAAATATTGGACCAGCATCGTACAACTACGATGAGACTTTATCGACTTTACGATATGCGAATCGTGCGAAAAATATCCAGAATGTGGCTAGGATAAATGAAGATCCAAAAGACGCTCAACTGAGGAAGTATCAGCATGAAATCGAGATGTTGAGGCAGCAGTTGGCTGGTAAGCGTACTGAAGATTTATCAGGGATACATGCGAACCGACAGCTAGGCCGCGTTCATACTTTTCGAATGCGAGAGATTGCGATTTCTCAGAGCTGGCAAAAAAGGATACTTCCATGCGATTACTCAGAGCTGGCGAAAAAAGGATACTTCCACATATCGATCTGCTTGCTTGTTCCCCAATTGTAGACTTTCCCCGATCGCGCGTTACCCACGTTCGCATAGTATGAACGCGGTCTCGAAATAGTTAAGTGCTGTTGGATTGTTTTAAAGCAGTTTAACGAATTTCGACCCGCAGTGAGTGAACCACCGAAGGACCATTTCAACTGACAGAACTGGATTATTTGTAATTTCAGAAGAGGACTCTGAAATGGACAACGAGAACGAATCTACTTGGGAGCAGCGTATGCAGGAAATGGAACAGAATTTGGAGAAGACTCGTGAAGAGTTAGCAGGAAGGAATGTAGAAGACGAAGAAACGCGAGCTCTGGTGCAACAAATGCTTGAGAGGTAAAATTCCTGTCGCCATGTTTGTGTTGGGTTAGTTCAAAAAACACGTTGTAGGGAGGCTGAGCTGAAGCGCGCCCGGGCTGAACACGCTGAATTACGTGCCAAGCTCAGCCAGATGGAAAGCAGACTCATAGTTGGTGGAGAAAACATGTTGGAGAAAGCCGAGGAGCAGGCCAGATTGTTGGAGGAAAGCAATCGGTCAGTGTTATAGCTGGATCTTCGCAATGTAGAGGCGGTGTTGGGGGACATGAAATGAGCCATCCGTGGACGTTTTCTACCGTGATTGTTTTCTTCCTGAACCGATCACTACTGGTAGAAACGGCTGCCGGAAGTGGGAATCCCACGCCTCCTGACACCGCCCCGACTGATTACGATGATGTCAACTGTATATCGTATCAAGATATAATCGGATGAAGCAGCGGTAGATTCGAAAAGATATTTTGTTTAGTGAGTTGGAACTGTCCCGAACTCAGGAGTCTCGTCTTCGTGACCAGCTCAAGGAGAAAGCTGCTGCAAGAGAAGACATCGAAGAAAAGTAAGTTACAGGGAGCACTTGTACTAGTTCAAGCAATTGCACTTTCTCAATGGTACGCATAGGTTCTGCGCTCAGGTTTCTAACTATCCCTTTATCCAGGTATTCCTCGCTGCAAGACGAGGCTGCTGCAAAAACCAAACGTTTGCGGCGTACCTATAATGAGTTGTGTGAAGTGCGGACCGAACTCGCCGATTCGGAGGCAGAGCACCATCGTGAGGTTGAAGGGCTGTTGGAGAGCATCAGGCAGCTTCGAAAGGTACGCAATCTTCTATATTAGGTCATCCCATTCAAACGTGCCGCTGGTTTTTTTTGAATAAAACAAAGAGGAGAATAAATAGAAAAGTGATATTTTAGCTTTAGGATGAGTAAATCCCTCCTTCACCAATGACCCGCTCCCAGTGCCCCGAGGGCCTTTGGACCTCTGGTACCTTCGATTTTTCAATAAGTGTGGGTAAATTGCTGTTGTTGCCAATTTCGGCAAATGACAAAACATTGTAGCGTCTGCCGTTGGAGAGTACTCTCAACTGAATAGAACAGTTGTAATCGCATGGCTTTATGACGGGCGAATGGGGCGATTGAACCCAGGTCTCAGAATTGTTTGTGTCCCAGCACTGATCTACAATACAGTTACTCGGGGTCTGGCACTATGACGAGCAACGGTGGCCTTCTTGTAGTTGTGTGGTAGCATCCATTTGTCGATCTGAATGCCGAGAACAGGCAATATGCACCGACAGTGGACGATTTGTTCTTCTGTTATTAGAGCCGCTTGAAAGCCACAGTGTGGGAATCCTTTGCTATGATGATCATCCACTTGCGCCCACGTAACTCTTCATGGTAGAACTCGGGCGGCTTCTCATCTGCATTCATACAAAATTGACGATTGTGAGTTTCGGCTCGAGGTCCGAGACCACCCATATTTCATCTAAGGCCTGGGTGCGTTTTCACAGTTGTGAGTGACATCTCATGCTGAGAACATTACTGCTAGAGGTATAGAATCGGTACTGCGTTCGTGCTTCTATAAGAAAATTAGGTACCCATGCGCCACCCTCTTGACCATCCTCAGTTTATCGGACATAACTCGGGCAGCAGTTGCAGCTGGGATGTCAGACTCGCGGGGAAGCTCGACAAGGGTCCAGGCTCTGTGATCAGATATTCAGTGCCTGACTTCATCCACCCGTTTTCTTCTGTGCAGGATGAATATTATGGGACCACCCACGACAACAAATTTTTTCCTTTCTTCCTTGTACGGGCTCCTGAACCAAATCTTCCACCGTGTATTTCGAGAACACCCTTACACACAACTATGGTCCGGCGCAGGTCAAATTTGAGCGGCGCACTTTCCTCTTATGACGTCTGATTTGAAAAACCGGCGCCGATTTTCACCACTCGGGCTTCTTTTCAATTTCTCGAGAACTTCTTCTGGGGCTAGGTTCGCCAAATTTCACAGATACACAGCTTAAGGTACTAGCTTCCAAATGGTATAGTAGCCCGCTGCTCTATCCCCTTTGCTTTTCTGCCATTCCTCTATATGTAGCGGCACGTTTGAATGGGATGACGCCTAATAAGCTAACTCGAATCACGATGTTCCACTGAGTTAAAACAGGAAAAGGAGTAGCTAAGAGAGTACCTCCCTAAGAAACGAAGTTGCTGCTTACTGGATAAATACCGTGTGAGACGGACGAATGGTATGAAGATTTGTGACAGTGGCAAAGTTGATACACTTGCGAGTGGCACCTCCCACCACGCGCACGTTCGGAAAGGGGCTCATATCCGGGATTGACTTTGATCCGAACCAGCCAAGCCTTTCATCTTGTGGTCGCCTTTTCCTAATAAACCTGTCGTGAAGAAAAGAAATGGCTCCCTCCACAAACCACTACGGTCACGGGGAGACTAGGACCAGTGCAAATCATCGTCGGGGTTCCTCCTCAGGGTTTGGTATTCGGTCGCTGGGAAAGGGGTGGTCGTATTGGTCATCTGAGAAATAATAGCCAGTGGCTAGCAAAAAAAATTTCCCCCGGTTGTTATTTAGAGTTTTTCCCGTTTTATGTACTGTATCCCACCCTCCCGTTCATCCCCCCTCGCAGCTCGGATCGTATAAGAGGAGAGGGCTAAGTAGAGGTAGCTAGGAGTCGTATTTTCGAAATTTTTTCCAGACTGCCTAAAAAAAAGCGAGACTGTAAAAAAGGAGGGGAAGGAGGGTGCCACGGATTCTCGCCAAACTCGATTCGTGCTGTTCCCTGATTCGATGCGTGCATCTCGAGCAGTAGCTTGATCGCCGCAATAATTTCTGTTTTCTCGGACCAGAAAAGAAACTAACGTTTACGGAGCCTTTCGGGCAGGCGTCATACTCAAGGTGAATCCAAGTGTGGGTTGAGTGCATCGCTCAGTCCGTGACGGCTCAAGAAAGTGAAAGCGATTTGCGCGAGCAACGTAGTGTGGAACGCAATTGACAGTTTTGCGACAGAAAGTTGTAAGGTCAAGTAATGCGAAGTTCATCCCATGACTCCGGCCTCCCAGGTCTCCTCTTTCTAAACCTCCCCCCCTCCGCCGAAAAAACTATACTACTTAATGGCAGCAGAATGGACGAATAATTTTGCGGTTGAGGGTGATTAATGTAACTCTGCTGAAGTATTCGTCCCCAACGCGCGTCTTTCCGCACCCCATGCTCCTTCAAATGAGTAGGCTAGGGGCCCCCAAAGGGGTTGTTCCGACTCTTTCCTTTACACTTCCTCCCATCTAACAGATTGCTTGCTGTTCCTACTCTATACTTCAAATCCATATTTCAACGCCACTAGTTCCGCTCTAATTCGCATACCCTATCTTCAAATAGGACTATAGGTGTAATAAGCAATTTTCAGCTGTTTTCAAATGTCACAGGGGTGTGTGAAACTCCTCAGTTGTTTCGTGCGTATCAGTACCGGAACAGCGAAGGAACTGGCCTTTTCCACTGATCAGCATCTCGCTGACGTTAGCGCTTCGTTTCCGGCTGTCCTTTACTTTGGCAATGAGTGGAAGATCAAAAGCCTGAAAGGATGAAAACTCCGAGTTGACAAATCGTATTGTAGGGTGCGCCACAACTTCTTCTGCCATTGAAAACTGTATTAGCTTTTGAATGCAGTATGTCCCCGAAATGACGCAGTAACTTCGATGAATAACTAGTGTTTCATCCCGAACGAACAACCGTTGGCCTTCTTTTCCGGAGGAATAAGATTAACCGAGATTTGATCCTCAGCACCGCGTGCGCCGAGCGTTGAGCGGGCCAACCCGGTTACCTCTACACCGTCTTGCACCATATATTAAACCGAACATGTTTTTTATTTACTCTTCTATCCATAATTCTTGTTTTCTATGGGTACTCAATCTCATCAACGCTAATGCCGAGCTCATATTTATTCATTTTTCTGATCTTCTTTAGTGCTGTCGTTCAGGAACTGCTGCTGAACATGACCATCATCGACGAATATATTCCTCCTGAGTATGTCGAACTCATCGAGAAGTACGTGAGTTGGAGCGAAGAGATGGGTGATTGGCAGCTGAATGCCATCGCGTATACTGGAAACAATATGCGAGCAGCTGCACCACTTCCTGTACAGCCGTATCAGGTGAGTCGAGGGAGCACATTCTTCCCTTAAAAATCTTCTTTGAGAGAATCAGTACAGCCGCTTCTCAAGCTTCCAATGAACAAGTGATCAAAAATATTATTTTGGACTCATGTCTGTTGAGCCAGAAAACGAAAATAAAAAAATCTTCTTCCAGTTGGATGCAAATCAATCGATTCCGCTGTTTTACTCGTACAAATCTACGATTCCGCTGTTTTACTGTACAAATCTGACTTGGGAGCATCGGCAACCGCATCTCGTCCTCGAACGTCGAAGCGGCAAAAGGCGAGTAATAGGAATCAAAAATGGAAAATGTGTATCATACAGGAAAGGGGCGCGGGTCGGCTTGGTGGGGGCAACAACTTGCACTCAGCAAAGCTTGCACAGGCCCTAAAACTTGTACGATCAAAGGGGCTCACTCACACGCGGAAAGTGCAAAATGCCCCTGTCAAGCCGACAGCACCGAAAAGTTGAAACTTTGTATCAAATGATATGCCACTTCGAAGTGTTCAAATGCTTTGGAAATAATTGTATAAAATAGAGCTAAAACAGTGTTTTCAGGGAACGCAACGCTGCCAAGCTGAAAACTTTATTGAGTTAACCCTTTTCGTCACATTGTTTTAAAATTTACTTTTTTTTGATTAACTCGAAGCTCTTATAATTAGCTCCAATTTTTTTGGATTTTTTGATGATCTCAGAAATTGATCCGCACGCTATCACTGATTTCTAGTCACCACATTTGTCTTTCCTACATTATCACGAGTATAATAGATCTGCACAAATAGGTATGTATGTTGTTGAGTGCATGGCACGATAATGTATAGGTTACTTATTTTTCACGTGATGACTAAGGGAACAGTTCACGTTCGTTGTAGGGGCGGAGCTAGCCAGCCATGGTGCCGTCTTCACTTTCTCGCTCCGTAGTCTGAAGAAGGGGCGCATCAAGGAGGAGCGTGCTATATTTGACTGGCTCCGCCCACACTACCAGCGTGGACTACTTGAGTATTCCTTTGACTGAATCCTTTAATTGTGATTTTCAGTAATCATCACGGTTCTTAGCAGTCCAGCACATGTTGTTACTTTTATTTTCATCTCGTTTTCTTCAAGTTTTGGGGAGTCATCTTGGATTTGAATATTTCTAGATTGCTTGCCGTTTTAGCAGCAATAAACTGTATAAATTTAGCTCGCGAGTTTTTCTCTGTGAGCGAAGGAGATATGTACAGTGGTAGCGGCAAAGCTGTTTTTTTTTGTTGAATTCATGGATCAATTACACTAACGTTATTCAAGGATCCCCCATACCTTCTTGCTCGCAATTAGTTAAGTTTATAGGTCTAGGAAGATGAGCGCGTGAACTTGACATTGCTCGAGTCGTTGAGATCAAATGCGCATTGAGATACCCTAGGACTCTGAACGGAAGTTGAAAGAGTAGAGCATACCCTGTGTATGGGTCGGTTGATAGCTATAACTTTAACGTGGGAACTGATACCATCAACGTCAACCGCTTGGGTGCCACCTCTCGCTGCACCTGTACCTTCTTCTTTCGTTTGGTTTCCTTTTCTGAGAAGATGAAGAGGGATGCACCAGTGGCGGTAGATCTGACTCCGCCCACTGGGTAAGCCTGCACTCGGCACTTAGAGAGAGACCCGCGCTCAACCGATTCGTGGGATTACTCCCTTGCGAAAGTGGTCCGGTGCGTAATCGAAAAGATCGTCCTGCTTTCATCGCTTTTTGTGGAGCCGCGAAAGTGGGACAATATTTGCCATTACGCACCGGACTACTCGGGCAACGAAGAAGTGTTCTGGTAGTTTGTTTCCGCTGATCAGGTATCAGAAGCTGTTGGCGTTGGGAGGGCAGTGTCTGTCCGCGCGAGCGAAACAATGTCGTACCTTTTCGGCAGCAAAAAAATTCTGAGGAGGCGGCGCAATACTAGTGTCAGTGACGCCTTCGCTTTTTCCAGTGGACGAGATGCGGCCTCACAAGGCCCCTGCCCTCCAGTGACAATAAGCTTCAAAGCAGAAACGAAGCGAGATGAGAGAAAAACCTGTCACTGTGAATACCGTCGTAGCAGTTCTATCGGGAATAAGCTGTGCGGATCGTGCGGAGCGTAGTGTTGGGAATGATGATGCTTTCTGGCACACTAAAACTGGGATTGCAAGGGGTTCTATGCCTAGCGGCGGTTGGCATCGTTTTTTCTGCTTGTTTTTTCTTTAACTATCGATTACTCAGCACCTTGTCGTTCATCATGGCCAACGCTCCCTAATCACTATCTGTGATAGCGAGGGATCGTGGGCTTTGCCTTTAACTTAGGGCTTGAAGTGTGTGCATTATGGTTTGGAACAGCATGAGGCATCTTATGCGATGAGTATGCGGATCGACCGCTCCATCTTGGTATTGTTGGTAGTACGGGAAATAAGCTCTAGTTCAGCTGACGCATCCAGTAATACAAGGACTGAAAAAAAGGGCCAAATCTTTATTTCCACAATACCGGTAGTGTAAAATCACAAACACTGAAAGATTAAAATACATTTTCCATCAGAGATGCGTTTTCGTGATGAATTGTGTATGCAACCCAGCTAGGAAACTCCAATGTTACCGGGTGCGCACGGCTGCGTCCCATGCGGTGCTGCGCGAGCGGTCAATGCACCACGGGCTGCAGCGAAGTCGAGTTACTTGCCTGGTAACTGCAGAGTACCGCAACGTGGACCTCCAGACCAGCACCCGATGTCACTAGTGATTCCTTCTTGGGCTGACTGCACAACAAACGTGCACCAGGAGCGTAGAGCTGCTGATGATACCGCTCCCCAAATTTTTGGTTCCGAATATGGAAACCTGCAGAAACACGCCTGAAGCGTTCCGAAAATAAGCGTCACTCTTCTTATCGGCAGGTCTATGTGAACTTGCACAGTTCTGCGGCTCAACCTCCCTGGTCATGTTTGGTGGCGAATGCAGTTGACGCCAGCTCTGGAACCCCGTGCTCGTGAGAATTCCTAGATGGAATAGAGATGCAATAAGTGAGAATGCTAGGCCGTCGGAGAGACTTATTGCCGATTTGGGGATTTGTGCCAGTATGGACATGGTGCGATACCATTCCGATCGCATCGAGCACAGCGAAGTCGAACACGGAATGTCTCCTTTGCCTTCTTGCCACCTCTGCAGAACGGACAGACAGTGTAGCCAGAGCCAAGGCACGTATTGCATTCTTGTCGACCCTGAACGCCGGGGATAGAGGAATTTTCAGAGACATGAGTCACGAAGACATGAAGAGTTAAACGGAATTCAGTTTGCACACCCACTTGGAACGTCTCGTTAGACAAATCTCCACAAGATTTTTGTTTTCGTTCTCTTGAATCAGAGTGGCATCGTTCTGAAAGTTGAGATCTAAGAAAAGAGCATTAGATCGGGTCTACAAAGCATCCAAAATTGAACGTTTCTTAATGGCATTTATCAAAAAACTTCGTTTTTTTTCCCATCTAGTAGCGAGATGGAACCCCCACAAATCCTATCCGCCAAGCCTCATCGATGGTGTCGGGCGTGAAACGGTTTTGAGCTGGTGCCAAAAAAGATACCAAATGCGGAGGTGGCCACACGTCAGATGGCTGGCGCAGCTTACGCGGGTTAATTTACCTTCTTCGCTCGAAAACAGTAACAACTATGGGCCTCATTCCCTGAAAGCTGAGGAACCCGACAGGGCGACCTAGGAACCACCGACAGGGCGACGTCGGCTGGGACCGCTCGGACGAGGCTGCTAAAATCACAGGGCCAACGGAGATTTGAGTCGCCCAGGACTAGGATGACGATCTGTACTTTCCAACTGCCACGTCGACGCTTGCATCGGAAAGCCTCACAATCGAAGATCCCTGATGTTGCAAGCAGGAAAGATCAGTACGAAGGTCATTCCGGAGTGACCGAGACAGAGGCAGGCAACCGCACGCTACAACGCCGGTACGCAGAGAGAAGAACTGTTCCTCGGAACATGCGACAGCAGAGGCGTTGGCGGTGTGGGCGTCCTCGTCAACACGCACTTGGCCATGAACATCGATTCGTACGAAAATCTGACGACCCGAATCGGACGTTTGCGATTGAGAAGATGTGGTTCAACTCCAGCTTTGACAATCTTCGTCGCCTACGCACCAACATCAAGCTACGACGAGGATGAGCTCGAAGCGTTCTATATGGAATTGGAGAAGTTCTACAAGGAAGATCATACCTTCTTCAAGGTCATCGTCGGTGATTTCAACGCTAAGATCGGACCAAGAAGAACGGCTGAAGAACTTCACATCGGAACTCACGGAACGGAGTGGAATGAGCAGGGCTGTCTGAGTTTATCATGTCGACCCATACCATCCATGGTAACTCGCAGTTCCAGAAGCCCTACTCTCTACGCTGGACATGGGAGTCTCCTGGTGGACAATTCCATAACGAGATCGACCACATCATCTGCAATCGAAGGTTTTGCCTAATCCGATGTCGCTGTTGTCCCTAAGTTCTACACGGGATCCGACCATCGCCTCCTTCGCGCAAGATTCCGCTTTTCGATGCGAGGAGAGAGAGCCGCAAAGTTCAAGAAGCGAAGCCCCAAGACCTTCATCAACTGGGATCACTTCACTTCTCTCGCTGGGCTCTGGGAGGATTCTGTCATCGACAACATCGACGAGGAATACGAACGGCTTGTTGCACATCTTCACGACTGCGCCAAGAAGTCAGAGGGTTCCAAGATTACCAAGAAGCGTCTATCTCTGGAAACTCTCGAGCTGATTCGCCAACGTGGAGCCGCACGAGCCGCAGGCAATTACCAGCTGACGTCTGAGCTTGCGAAGCTATGCAGAGGAGCGATAAAGGAAGACCTCAAGGAGAGAAGAGCAGCAGTACTGGTGGAAGCCGCAGAGGCTGGGAAGAGCATACGCAACGCCCGCCGCGACTTCGCCAACTGTAAGACCAAGATGACCGCCCTCCGACGTCCGGATGGAACAATCACCGCATCCAGAAGGGCAATGGAGAAGGTCATCCACGACTTCTACTCGGATCTCTTTGACAGCCACGTCCACCTGCAACCATACCGCTTGGAGCAGGATGGATATGTCGTTCCTGCAGTTCTCCCTTCCGAAGTCCGACACGCCATCTCGTCGGTGAAGAATCGTACGGCACCCGGTCCCGACAGGATCAGACCCGAACATCTGAAGAATCTTCCGCCAGTTCTCGTCAAAACTCTGGCTCGACTCTTCACGCGCTACCTGTCGGAATGCAAGGTACCCACCTCGTGGAAAACCAGCAAGACTGTGTTGCTGTACAAGAAGGGAGACCTGTACGACATTGGCAATTATCGCCCAATCTGCCTGCTGTCTGTAGTCTACAAACTCTTCACACGAGTCATCCTGAACAGGATTGGCAGAACACTAGACGAAGGACAGCCATGCGAGCAAGCAGGGTTTCGAAGAGGATTCAGCACGATCGATCACATCCACACGGTAACGAAGCTCATCGAAGTATCGCGAGAGTACAAGATGCCGCTATGTCTCACGTTCATCGACTTGAAGAAAGCCTTCGACTCCGTTGAGACAGAAGCGGTTATCGAAGCCCTGGGCAACCAGGGTATTCCTACTCAGTACATCAGGATTCTTCGTGAGCTCTACAGCAACTTCACGACCAAGATTTCACCATTCTACAAGGAGATCATCATCGATGTGAAGAGAGGGGTCCGACAGGGCGACACCATCTCGCCCAAGCTCTTCAGCGCCTCTCTCGAGAACGTCATGCGTCAACTGGAATGGGAAGACATGGGAGTGAAGATCGACGGTCGGCAACTACACCATCTCCGCTTTGCTGACGACATCGTTTTGATAACGCCAAACATCGAGCAAGCGGAACGAATGCTGGCTGAATTCGACTGCGCGTGTGGAAGAATCGGTCTACGGCTGAACCTAACGAAGACGATGTTCATGAGAAACGGATTGGTATCTGATGCCCCATTCACGCTCAACGGAACGACCATCTCTGAATGCTCTAGCTATGTGTACCTAGGTCGTGAAATCAATATGATGAATGACCTAGCTCCAGAGCTGAGCAGGAGGAAGCGAGCGGCTTGGGGAGCCTTCAAGAACATCGAGGGAGTAGCGAAGAAGACGAAGAACACCAAGCTCCGTGCCCACCTCTTCGATTCCGCGGTCCTTCCTGCCTTGACGTACGCCTCAGAGACTTGGACTCTACGAAAGCAGGATGAGCATGCGGTCGGCGTTATTCAACGCGCCATCGAAAGGCGATGCTCGGAGTTTCCCGCTACACGCAAGTGAGAGAGGGAATCCGGAGCTCCGCCAACGATCGAAGATCAGAGACGCCGCCGCATTTGCCAAGGTTTCGAAGATCAGGTGGGCCGGACACGTCATGCGTTTCGAGGACGACCGCTGGACCAGAGCAATCACCGACTGGATTCCACGGGATGTCAAGCGAACGCCTGGACGACCGCCTATGCGATGGTCAGACTTCTTCGTGAAAGCTCTGAACGAATGGTATGAAGTTCATCGTGTCCCTCGAGCTGAGAGAGTTCATTGGGCAACTCTTGCACGTTGCAGGGACGAATGGAGACGTTACTGGCGCCCGCTCGAGGAACTCGATGATCAACGGGAGCACAGGTGATACAGGTGATACAGGTGAAAGTTATCACCAGCTTGCTGAGTTGCGGGCAAAACACTTGGTTTGAGCATGGACTCGAAACACGACCTCACGTTCACCTGGTTAGTGAGCTAACCCTGCAGTAGCTCTTGCGTGATGTTAAGCCTTGGCTGGTTTGAAGGGTTGCCCGTAACTTAGCATTCTTGTGATCGATCGATTCCGATTTGTCCGGATGACTCGGAAAAATCTAGGAATAATTTGATTAAATCATCCAAATCTGCTCTAGTCTCTAGTATAGGAGTGGTTTTAGGGTTCATACCAATATGTGGGAGAGTAGACCAATCTCCCTCGGGGAGAAATGAGCATGAGAACACTCATTGGATACTATATTGAACCAAATGAACATTAACAGTCCCATGACGCTGATGTTCAGACTTTCCATGCCACTCTCTGAGTTCACACTTTTGGTTAGTTCTTTTAATATTCTGCCAAAAGTAGTTCTGCTAACCATCAAGATCATGTCTACACGTTTTGGTTGTTTTGGTTGTCAGAGCACGTCATTTCCCTTCCAATGTCGCTCGGAGAGCGGCTCACCGCAGTTCGGAAGTTCGACTTCACACAACATCGAGCTACCATTTTGCCAACAAAAGCCCTGAGCTGGTGAAAATGGGTGAGAAGGAATTATAAATACCATAGTGGACACAGTGAAAGTATTCTTTCTTCTTCCACTTTCTGCAATTTCCATACCACCGCACTAAAAGAGACGTCGCTAGTGACCATGAGGGGAGGGGGCTCTGGAAGAAACCGCTATGCGGGAGTAGATTAACAGTAATACAGATGGACACTTTTGCCTGAGTCTATGGTGGGAGGAGCTACTGGGTCGGTGAACCATTGACAAGTACGGTAATTACAGTCCTCATCATTGCGGACCGGTGGGGCGTGTCAGCCAGTATGTGCACACTGTTGAAGCCGTTCTCAGCCTTTTTGTTGAAACGCGTATGCGACAAAAAGTGGTAGAAAACGAGTAATACGAAGGATATAATACAGTAATGTCACTTGCCCGCTTCAACAACTGGTGCAGAACGACTTTGGCACCGCGCCAAACGCAGCCGCACTGACACGCCCCACCGGTCCGCAATGATGAGGACTGTATGTCCGGATGACGTATACACCAATTGTGTGACTTCCAGTGAATCTTGCCTTTATGAGACGTCAACAACTAACATATCGTTCAATCCTAGCGACATTTCGCTCGTTTTTTCATAACTCTTAATTGCTGTAGATTGAAGGAACGAAGGGACTCAGGGAAAAATTTCTCAAACTCACTCCAAAATATTTTCCATTTACATATACCATTGGGAGGCTGTCGTATACAAGTTCTCGGTCACTCTGTAATTATTCGAATTTCGAAAAAACCTTGTGTTCAGGTGATATTCAGTTCAACCCACCTTGTCTAGACGCATTCGGTCAGCTAATTCGTCCGCGTAAGAAGGGTCAATGTTGAGATCACGAAATTCCGCTTTAATTTTGTGCGCTTTCAGCAGTTCAACCTGTATTCCAATGATAAATCAGTAGGACCATCTATAGTTAAAGTGAACGCTACCGTATCCCGACATCGTTCCCACACTCTCCTCAGGATTCCACATGTTGTGATATAGACGACAACCTTATTCATCTCTTCTTTAATATAGTCTCTCTGAAAGGGTAAAAGAT